TAGAGTCTACTGGAGTTCAGTAGGAGGGAAAGATGCTGAAAATTCAACGAGCTCTTGAAGTAATTTTATCTCATAGTTTTAAATACTTACATACTTTTTGTGTTCAGTTTGTCATGAATTCAGAATTTCCAGATTTCATCCAGACTTGTAGACTATTTCATTGGGTTACGTACTACAGAGTAAAATAACTAAAAATTGAGAATGCATGTCAAATTCTAGTAATAATTGGTAAATGAGAGGATAAACAGACACAAGTGCACAGTTCACAATTTTTAGCTGGTTTGAGACCCACCAACGTGGGTCACTTTTCTCCTCAAGTACCTGGTTTTGTGCCTCAGTTACCCAGCTTTGGATATTGGGAGTAATGATTCCTTGCTTCCATTTGAATTGCTTCCAGAAACACGCATGAAAACATACAGAAGACATTACTGTTGTTACACTGCTCACCATTTTTCATGACTTCTCTACCTTCTAATTTTTGTGCAGCCCCTCTATGCTCTTTGGGAGTTATCCCAATAGTGCACACGTGTACTCTGGGTGGCTTCTTTTTCCAGGGCCTCTGTGTGCATCCTCATGAGCTAATATAAATTAAATGTTGGGGATGTTTTCATGCCATAGCCATCAACTGCGTCCCAACTGATTATGGTTTCCCCAGAGCAAATGGAGCCTTAAGAAATTATGCAGCAGTAAAAAGAAGAATTGAAGCTGGATGATAGTTAGAGCTGAGTTTCATATTATTTTTGAACTCCTTGGAAAATTTCGCTTCAAAAGAATGAAGATGGTTCCTGCCAACTAAAATCTTGTCTTCGTGGTTTATTGGTATTATTTGTTCGGGACCATAACCTTTGGTTTGAATTGTGCTGTAGACATAGGAATGCATCTGAATTAATTCATAACAGAAGCAAAAGAAGATTAATACTTGAGATAATTGAAACTTGCTTCTGAATAGATTTCCCTGGAAAATTTCTCTGGAGATTTTTCTAATTATGTTGATGCCAAAATGCAGTAAATAAAAAATAAATTCCCATTTCGTTATTTTCAGAAATGACAGGAGAGAGGTGTACTTGATAGTCATATCAGGAACAATAACTTGATGAGATTTTTCTTTATTTAAAAACAAATTGCCTTGCGTGTGCATGTTTAATGATGATGACAGCTGCTAGTCCTGCAAGCAAATGTGAGCACCAGTTCTCTGTAGCCAAGCAGTGTGGATTGCAGCAGGTAATTTCCTCTTATAATGATGTTGAAGAGAAATTACAGGGAGAATGTTGTATAATTATCTCTGTTACACAGTGATCTCTGAAATTTCTCGTGTTTTCAGGGATTTTCATGTGTCTGGTGTGCATGGTGCTGTAAAATACTTTTACCTACTAGCATGGTCTCACTTATTACTTCACTGAACACCAAAGCGTATCTTTAAGACCCAGTTCTGGGTTACTGAAGGTACTGTTTTGCCAGTGGCACTGCAGTGCTGAGCTTGTTGCTGAGTCTTTCCTGGGCCAGGCTGGGTGTCCATGGAGAGCACAGGGTCCATGGCCTTTGTCACTGCTGCAGATAAATCACCCAGAGGAGTGGCTAGGCTCCACAGAAGCTTCACAGAAGCTTATCCTCTTGCTACCTGCCCTTATGATCCCAGCTTTCCTGTAGGTCCCCTTCAGGTATTGGAAGATCACTATAAGTTTTTGGAGCCTTCTCTTCTCCAGGCTGAAGAGCCCCAGCTCTCACAGCCTGTCATTGTAGGGGAGGTGCTCCAGCCCTCTGTTCATCTTCATGGTCCTCCTCTGGACCTTCTCCAACAGCTCCACGTCCTTCTTGTGCTGGGAGCTCCAGAACTGGACACAAATACCTACCCCAAATTTATTCACGTGTATTTCAGTTCAGGGTGTGTATTTTGAATCAGCATTTCATTGTGCTTCTGTTGTATCAAGAAAATGTTGGTCTTATTTACTGAATTTGAAACACTTTGTCGAATACTTCTGTTCCAGTTTACACAACTTTCCTAGCATGAGCTAGGCACGTGCATTTCAATACGTTGTCAGGAACAGCAAAGCTCTTTCGTAGCACAGTTTTGAATGCAGATAGAAAATACCGATTTTCTCTTAATGAGGCTTTTGGTTTGGGATATTTTGTCTGTTAGCGTACAGTGTAATGTCTGACGTCCATTTAGAAGCTGCAGTGATACCAGCAGCAGGACTTGCCTTTGTAAGTGCTTCTCTTAATCTATTGAGTATCCAGGTAGCAACAACTTAACTGCGCTGCCTAACAGTTGCACAGAAATCAGTGTGCAAAAGGAAAGAAAAAAATAAGTATATGTATATGATAGACTTTCTGCACCTTGTTTGGCATTTTGTTTCCAGCAGCACAGAATCAACACAGAATGGCTTGGGTCAGAAGGGATCCCAAGGATCACCAAGCTCCAACCTCCCCTGCCGCATGCAGGGTCGCCAGCCTCCATATCTAATAGCAGACCAGGCTGCCCAGGGCCCCATTAGTGGCTCCCAGTGATTTAGGAAGCTGCCACTTCATCACCTTTTGGCCTTTGAGAGCAGGCGAATTACTAGTGAGCAATAACAATATCAGTGAAGGGTCACTTGCTGAGAATGGAGGTAACCTGCTAAAGTTCATCCTCTCCCAGACATTCTCTGTAACCAGTGGAAGGATAGATCCAACCCCAAAAGAGGTTGGTGATACCTCCCAGATACCTCCCTTCCCTAATTCAGGTGTGGACCAGTATCCCAGTATCCTTCTGATACTGGAGAAACTCCACCAGATGCATTCAGGAAAGCTGTTGCAACAGAGCCTGGAGTGCTACAGGATATCTCTTCTCTGGATCAGCAGTTGTTGAGACTGTCGTATTGCACCTTTTATCCAGGAAAAACTGTGCAGAACATAATTTGTTTCTTCTTGGTCACCCACCGAATCAAAAACAATGAAAAAAGAATAAGATCATAAAAGTCAGTGATGAAACCTGATTTGCAGTATTGGAGTGAAGGGGCTGTGTTTGTAATGAAGAATAATGCAAATGACTACAATGAACAATTTTCCTGATGCAGTTGCAAACATGATGCAGAACAGTTCCAGTGCAGTAAGTGTGAGAGATACTGCAGAAGAGATGGGCGAGACAGAGAAATCATGTTTCCAGCACTGCCAGGGAAGGTGACATCCTAGAAGGATGCAACTGAAGGTTACGAGAGCTCTTAAAGGTTTCCAGGTCCCTGGAAGAGAGCGGTGAAACTTGGTCCTTCAGCATCATCTCTACCCTGTGCATTGGTGGGTGCAGGAAGGGGAGCATTGGCACTCTGGAGATCCCAGGGGCAAGCTTCATCTTCAGCTTTGGATTTTGGGACTGGCTTGGTCACACAGGTCAGTGTGTGACACTGACTGAGCAGGCTGCCAATGCTCTGCTGTCTCTGCTGTGGGAGCCAGCTGCATGTGAGCTGTGCTGACAGACACAGTCATTCCATGTGCTCTGAAGGTCCCTGGAACGAGAGCACTGCAATGCAAAGGTTACATGAAGAAACTTCATTTTGAAGAATAGGTGTTACTTATTTTAGGCATTTCGTGGTGAAACAGTTAAGTGAATAGCCTCCTGTTAGAGAACATTGAGTTACTGATCTGAAAGATCCATCCTGCTGGCTGCCCCTCTTCTGATTCTCTTCTTAATTTTGTTTTTTTTTTGTGTGTGTGTGCATGCAGACAGTCTGTGACACGTGCACAGATGCACAGGCTGTCTCTCCTTGTTCTTGCCATTAAAATGGGACTGAACAGTTTGGTACAAGGCCACTGAAATCCATCTGCAAACCTGCTTTTTGTCTGTTATCAGTGCTAGCACGGATACATTCTCTTCGTTTTCCAAGGTTGTGCATAGAACCAGCCATGGTGTCTTATGGTTTGAGGAAAAACCCCTCTGTTACAGGACAAGGCCACAGGTGTCCCGTCACATCACAGGGGCATTTAATAATAATAATGAAACAGACCGCTGTTTCTGTCTATATTTACATATATACTTTGACCTTACAAGTTCTTCAGCTCACTTCTATATGAAATCTTGAGAAACCTGTGATGACTTTTGTTAATGGGCCTCTCGTATGTCACAGTATCACATAAGATATTTTGGGGGGGAAAAGTCCTCGTGAACAAATTAGGCAAATTGTGATGTCACAATGGGGCGTGGTGATGGCACAATTTGCCTCTGTGACATCACAGTGGGCTTTGTGACATCATAATGGTTATCAAGGCGTCACAATGGGCTCTGTGACATCATAATAAGGCTCTGTGACATCACAGTGGGCTCTTTGACAGCATAATGGGCTCTGTGATGTCACAGTGAGGCTTTGTGACGTCATAATGGTTATCGTGATGTCACAATGGGCTCTGTGACGTCATAATAAGGCTCTGTGACATCATAGTGGTTATCGTGACGTCACAGTGGGCTCTGTGATGTCATAATAAGGCTCTGTGACATCACAGTGGGCTCTTTGACAGCATAATGGGCTCTGTGACATCACAGTGGGCTTTGTGATGTCATAATGGTTATCGTGATGTCACAGTGGGTTCTGTGATGTCATAATAAGGCTCTGTGACATCACAATGGGCTCTTTGACAGCATAATGGGCTCTGTGACATCACAGTGGGCTTTGTGATGTCATAATGGTTATTGTGATGTCACAGTGGGCTCTGTGACATCATAATGAGGCTCTATGACATCACAATGGGGCTCTGTGATGTCATAATGGGCTCTGTGACGTCACAGTGGGCTCTGTGACATCACAGTGCAGCTCCGTGTCATCATAATAAGACTCTGTGACATCATTATGGGCTCTGTGACATTACAAAGGGGCTCAGTTACGACATAATGGGGCTCTGTGACATCACAATGGGCTTCGTGACGTCACAGTTGTGATGATCTGTTGACCAGTGTTGCATTTTAAATTTTGAGTAACTTAAAGAAGAATGGAAAAATAAAAGGATATTTATGTTGTTTTGTTTCTGCATTCCAGGGCACACCAGCAAGCCGAGTCCGGTACAAAGTAGACGTTGTCCAGTTTCCTTACAGTGCCAGCATTTTTGATGTGGAGGAAAGCTCAGGACGTGTAGTAACTCGGGTAAACCTAAATGAAGAGCCAAGTACAGTGTTCAAGGTATGTACTCATAGAGCTGTGTATTGCCAATGTCAATTGCACTTAGTAGTATTCCTCTCACTTTTGTTTTTCTCTCTCCAGCTTTCTATTCCATAGAAATAAATGAATTTCTTATTTGTTTCTTCAGGTTCTCAGTTTCTTTCTGGTACAAGTTTCCTTTTTGATTTCAGAAAGGTCTCGGATAGATGTGTTTGCTGGTGCTTGGTGGGGAAAAGAAGTAGGGAAGCAACTCAGTTTTTGAAAGTTACATTGCTGATGTTTCATTTTCAGCAGGGCTGTCAGCACAGCAATTTCGTGGAAGATTTGTAAGAATGGCAGTAAAGGAAGTTAATGCAAGATTGGGTGGTTTGGGACTTCTGTTCTCAAGTACTATAATGTAAAAACACTGGCTTTAAGGAGGTGTAAACTACTGTTGTCCTGTTACTGTTCCTGAGGAGTCTCAAGTGTAGTTAGGCCAGAGTTATCTATTATTTCAATCAGAGCTGCTGGGACGGAGCTCCTTTCTTAAATCCATGAATGAAGGAGTTAGCTGAAAATGAAAACTGAAGTGTTTCAGTAAGCAAAACAATGTAGTTAATAATACGTCAGGGTTTATATGTGATTTTCCTACATGGGAACTGCCAACCTTCTGTTTCTTCATTAAGGTTTGTTTAGTTTCTTCTTGCTATTCAGTATTTCTTTTTGAATGGAGAATGAAAGGGAGATTTGTTTGTATACTTTTCAGTTACAAGGAAATAAAATTATCCACCATTTTCTGCTTCTTAGCAGACTCCAAAAAATCCGAGCTGTGGGGTCTTCCTGAGTTGGTGTTTGCATCTAGAGCGCTGGCTTTTGCAGCTGCACTGAATCTTCAGTGAAATTGTCCAGGCAGCTTTTAACGTGCTCATACTAACAGCAACTAGAGTACTTTGCAGTTGATTGATATATTGGCTAAAAAAGTATGTCCTGTTGCTCTAGGCTGTCTTTTCGCTGACCTATTCTGAGAACAGCAGACTTCATAGAATGATAGAATCCTCAGAGTTGGAAGGGACCTTTAAAGGCCATCTGGTCCAACTCCCTGCAATGAATAGGGACACCCTACAGCACCATCAGGTTGTTCAAAGCCCTGTCCAACATGACCATGGTTGTCTCCAGAGATGGGGCACCCATGACCCCTCTGTGCAGCCTGTGCAATGCTGATCTGCTATTTTGCTAGAGCAAAGGACTGATCTGCTCCATCCAGTGATCTCCTGAAATGAGGACAAATTTAGGCAGAGAGAAAAGTAGAAAACTGTCTGTTAATCCATCTCCAGTGGGCTGGTCTCTCATCCTGGTGCTCACCTTTGTTTGAAAGCTGAAAGCAGGTGAATTTGTCCTGGCAGAGCAGCACCAATAAATATTTAGTAATGATTATTTATGCCAAAAATTTACAAAGGGCTGCCTTTGGTGAAGATCTTGTCTTGTCTGTTCTAGCATTCTGAGAATCTCTCGTAAGAGTTTTTTCATTGTCATTTGGAGGCAGATAATGTCTTTTTGGTTGTTGTTTTGATATCAGATTTCAGTTCTAAATACTAATGTTTGTTAGCAGAACAGAATTCTTACCCAGCAGTTCTGTTTTTTTATTTTATGGGGGGGCTACAGATGTTTTTTCAGTAGTAAGTATTCCACTGCTTGAATGCTGAACTGAACTATAACAGTAGGAAAGTTATAATGGGTTCTAGTGTTTTAATTAAGGACTGTCTCTGATAAGACATGAAGGGAATCCATGAAAAACATAAATTGTGTAATGGAAGCTTTCAGAGATTGGAGATGTATTTGTAGAGGGCTGTGGAATTGAAATTCCATTTCTCTGCATTTCTGTATATTTTCTAGCACATGGTTCAACCTGTGGATGGCTGTCGCCTTTTTCCTCTGTGTTTAACTCTCATGAAGTGTTTGATTTGTAGTGAAGAAAATCTCTGACTTGTTATACCCTGAAAATACAAAAAGTGTTGTTGCAAGTCGAGATAAAAAATGCTGTTGCCTATACTAAGACAGTGATTTTCTGCACTGTTTATAGCTCGTGGTCATTGCATATGATGATGGAGATCCCGTGAAGTTCAACACCACTACTGTGGAAATTGCTGTACTTCAACCTTCAGTAATCCCACGGTTCACACAGGAGGAATACAGGTAATGCATTTATTCATTCACATTGCAGCTGTCATGGTTTAAGCTGAAAAAAATTCCTGTTTGAATGCCAGTCTGATACATTGGGTTGCAGCATGGAAGCACTTCCCCTGCATTCACCTCTTCTGTTCCATTTGACACACAGGAGGCAGTAAGTCCCAAAAACAAGGTTTGAACCAGTGCACCAGAAACCTCATGTGCTTAGAGCTGATAACAGATTTACTGATGCTAACTCTTCTTTGGGAAATAGAATTTGATGCTGCTCTGAAGACAGAGCTAACACTTGAGTCCACCAGAAGAAGAAATGTGTGCAATTACATGCAGGACTCTGATTCATCAAAGTCAGGGTAGCAAAAGACTTCAGAATTGTTTATTTCTCTTAGCTGCAAGTATTTTTAGTGGACAGCCATTTCCTAGTCTTAGCAGATAGCGCTGCAGTATTACCATCTTAATAGGTTGTCTCCAACTGAAAAGTTGTGGGCTGTGGTTGACAGTAGTGAAAGGCTTTTTTAAAATTCTCCTCTTAGCCGTTGAAAATGTCAGTTGGGTGGATAAACAGAAAGTTCCCTAGAACTGAGGTATAGCTAGGATCATCAGGGCTTCAGGTTATTGTCTCCATGCAGTTCCAATAGGTTTTGATCCTGTAAACCATTTGTGTTGGACAAGAGCTCCTATTCAGTATCTTTATTGATGACCTGGATGTGGGCAGCGAGTGTATCCTCATTTAGTTTGGAAATGACACCAAGTTGGGAGGAAGCGTTGATCTGCCTGGGGTAGGATAGCCCTACAGAGGGATCTGGACAGGCTGGATAGCTGGGCTGAGGCCAGTGGGATGAGGTTCAACAAGACCAAATGCCAGGTCCTGCACTTCGGCCAAAACAACCACAGGCAGTGCTACAGGCTTGGGGCGGAGTGGTGTGAGGCCTGGGTGTGCTGGTCAATGCTTGGCTGAACATGGGCTGGCAGTGTGCCCAGGTGACCAAGAGAAGGCCAGTGGCATCCTGGCTTGTATCAGACACAGTGCAGCCAGCAGGAGCAGGGAAGTGATTGTCCCTCTGTACTCAGGCCTGATGAGGCTGTAGCTCAAGTGCTGCGTTCAGTACTGGGCCCCTCACTACAAGAAGGAAATGGAGGCCCTGGAGTGTGTTCAGAGAAGGACAACGAAGCGTGTCTGGAGCACGAGGAGCTGCTGAGGGATCTGGAGTGGCTCAGTCTGGGGAAGAGGAGGCTCAGGGGAAACCTGATCACTCTCTATAACTCCCTGAAGGGCAGTTTTGGTGAGGTGGGGGGCAGCCTCTTTTCCCACGTAACTAGCAATAGGATGAGAGGGAATGGCCTCACGTTGCACCAGGGGAGATTTCAGGCTGAATGTTAGGAAATACTTCTCCGAAAGAGTGGTCAGGCACTGGAATGGGCTGCCCAGGGAGGTGGTGGAGTCACCATCACTGGTGTTAAAGAAATGCGTAGCTGTTGTGCTGAGGGACATGGGTTAGTGGGAAGTATTGGTGATAGGTGGCTGGTTGGACTGGATGATCTTAGAGGCCTCTTCCAACCTTGGTGATTCTAAGAGGGAATTTACACTTGAGCTCTTTGATGTAAGAAGTGCAGGTGATTATTATTCCTACTCAGTCATAATATGAAACTCTGACAATTTAAAAAAAAAAATCAACCCCCATTTTCTTAAAATGAAGTGAAAAAACAAACTGATGCTCAGGCTGGTTAGTTTATTAAGGCTGGTTTCCGTGAAAGTGTTCATGAACAGTTTCTGACATTTTTGCAATAATAAGAAATAACAAGATCAGTGTGCACAGCCTCCCTGTCTCAAGACGTTATAACCTTGCTGCAGTGTGTGCTCTTGCATCAAATGTAACGCTATAATCAGTACCAGAATATTAATGGATTTTATGAATCTAATTTCAAAGCCAAATACTGTTGGCAATCAGGAAGCAGAAACAGAATGCATCATTATTTGCTTCTGCGGACCCAAATGACAAGTCACTGTCTGCTATTTTAAGGAAGTTAGAGAAAAAATCATGATATGCATTGCTTTTCCTCATGATTAGAGTATCAGAACTTCGAAGCCATACCATAAAGATAAGGAAAGACTCTCCTGACAATTCTTCTTGCAGTGTGTCACTTGCAAAGTTAAATCACATTTATAAAAGAAGGCAAGTAGGAGAAAATACCTTGATCCTACAGCCAGAAGTGTGCTAATGAAGGCATCTAATTGAAATGTTGGGTAGTGACTGTGGAGAGGAGGAAGGAGTAGAAAATGCCAAGTCTCGTTGTGTGTTATCATGTCCTGTTACTCAATCTCAGACAGTAAAGAGTGCATTGATGAGAAGAGGGAGAAAGGGAAAAAACCTTTCATTTCAGACTTGAGAAAATTATTCCAGCAGTGTTTAATAAGAGGACACGATGCTGAGATCTTTCCAAGACATTCTACATCTTGGGTAAACTCCAAAAGCTAATTCACTGTGCCTCAGGAGCCGGCACAGTGGCTGGAGCAGCACAGTGGGGTCCTCTTCTACAGCACGAAGAGTTTTTGCACTTCCATTTAAAGCACCAGAGGGTCTTTGTTTGCAGGATTATGGGAAGAGAACCTAAGCTGCAGGTCTGCTGTTTGTGTTGACGTTGCCTTCTGAACCAAGTGTGCATTTCCTGAGGCCACCTCAAGCTTCTATTTCATCCCAGGAGATAGGACCTTTATTTACCGACAGTAAGGGAAGCTTAAAGTAAAAAGCATTCCATATCCCCTAAATACTTACAGATGACAACTCAGTAACCCCTCTTATCTCCTCCTCCTCACAAATTCATAGGATTAGATGAATAGCCCAGTGTCTCTTTCCAAAGAAATAGCCCTGCTCCATTCTTGGTAATTTTTTTTGAGATGCACACTGCTGTATTAAACTCTTAGAAGTCTTTTGAGGGCAGCAAAAGCACTTATTCATTTTCACCAATGTCAGAAATAAAATGAAAATAATCCCCAAACTTTCTGATTCAGTTCTAAGATTCTGTGACATCGTGGAGCAGGGCTGTTTTCAATTTCTTAGTTTTTTAGGGATTCTCACTCTGCAAACTGCAGTTGCTGTTTGGTTTCCTGACAGTGATGCAAGCTGAAGCTGGCAGGTTTCATAAAACCTTGGGTTTTAGTTGACATTATATATCTTTAGGGTAAACGTCAGCTCAGAGCAATGATGCTGTCGCAAAACTTCTGGATGTGGATACTAGAATTTTCTGAGAATTTAGAACTGGTGTCTTTGGAGTGGATGAGTATTGATCTTTGCTTGCATAATTACTTCAATCTGGCTGATTCCAACAGTTTCTTCTAACTCTTCTACAAACTTTGCTTCTGTGGATTTAGTAAGAGCTCACAGTTGAACACTTTTACAGACTAAAGGTGCCTGCAGAGTTTGCAGCATGTATTACAAATCAGAAATAAACACGAAACGCAGGAGAAGGGGGGACCAGATGGCACAATCAAAAAGGCCTAGCCACATGAGGCAGACTGGGAGATGAAAGCATGACTGTGCCTTGAGCTATTGATCTGGCAGCTCTGTGCTGTCAGAAGCACCCCAGCACATGAGGGCCTCTGCCTGGAGTCCTGTTCATGCTACAGAAGGGTCTGACTGATACATTTCCATGCCTTAAAGTGACTTCTGCAGGAGGCAGCAGTCAACTTATAGGCATGGCTTTTGCTCACTGGCTTTCCCACTGCAACACTGCATGATTTATAGGAAATTAATTAGCCTTTTCCCCTCCACACGCCACCTTTTCTGTTTGGATTGTAAATTATAACTGAAGACTTACAAGTGCTGCTGCAGCACAGGGAAGCCAAGATCTCTGAGAACCAACACATGCAACGTGGAGCAGTTTCTCTGTAATGTGTGTTAAAGTATAGTTCCTAATAACTGAGATAGATGTCCACTGAGTCACATCAAAAAGCCATCTGCTGCAACCAGACAGCTCTTCTGGTGGGAAGTAGCAGGTCAAGCTGAAGCATTCAGCAGCCATGGCTGCTTTAGGACGTCCTCCTCTGCACCAGCTTCTAACTTCCCATTAGTAGACGAGCAGCATGTTCAGCAGTTGTAAAGATGACAACCCAGGGGCTTGCAGGCCATCAATAAGGGCTAGATGATTCAGGCTTATGTGGCTGTCCCCTGAAGGCGCCAATATACTGCAAATCATAGAATTGTTAAGGTTGGAAGTGAGCACTCAGATCATCTAGTCCAACCATCAACTCATCACTGCCATGGCCACTAAATTGTGACCCTCTGCTGCATCCTTAGGTGCCAGCCTGGCTGCCTCCACAGCACATCAGCTGGTACCCTGGTCTGTTCTGTGCTCCTGGCCTGGGGCTGAAGCTGCAGGGTTTCACTGTATCAGGAGTACGGATCTTCCTCACTCGTACCCTTCTCTGCCCTTGCCTTGGATATATTGGCTGTGACTTGGAGAGAGCTGCTGGTAGTTGTGCACGTGAAGTAAAGCAGGCAAGCGTTGTTTGCTTATTCAGTAAAAACACAGAGGTGAAGAGGCAAAAAAGGAGCAGCATTGAAGGCCTGAAACACATGCAGATGTTTATTTGTATGTCGCTATCCACCTCAGAGTCTGCTTGACCTCGTGCTGCCAGGGCAGGATGCTGTGCTGCTGATGCTCTTCTCGCTGCATCTCCCTGCAGGGTTCTGACAGTCAGATTTTGCCACTTCTCTGGAGCACTGACAGCAGTGAGGCACTGTGCCCCAGTCTGTGTGCTGGGCACTTGGCAGCAGCGTGTGGGCAAGGCCTCAGCCCTGCAGCCTGAGCACAGGTCAGGGGCCGTGGGGCACAGCGAGGTGATGGAGGGTACGTCAGCACGCCAGGCTTCCCGCATGGCTGCACAGTGCTGCCTTGCTGGCTGCGGTCATCTACACAGTTTCTTACCATTTTTAATGCTGACTTGGATATTGTTCTGCTTATGCCGGAGAAATAGCCGTGTCTGTGGTAATAAATCACTTCCCGGGGAA